TTTCGGATTACAAGTCCTCCGGCGAGTTTAACCGCGAACGTGCATATTCTATCAACCGCAACCGGCGTTTAAGCAGGGATTAAGTTTTATCTGGAACCGGCTACGGCCACGTGAAATGAATACAGTTTAATACGTTCGATTGTTCTCGCCTTGTTATCTGGTTAGTTGCATGTACGTTTATGGATTATGCCACGCGAAAGTGAAACGTTACGAACTTCGCTATTTTTCTCCCGATTGTCTCGCGAAATATGCGTTTAATTTGCATCAAGACGTATCGGAGTGCATGGGTGGTACATTAATTCCACAATGAAGCTCGATAAAGTGGAGTAAACAAGTTTCTACAGATGCGAATATGAAATGTGTAAAATTAACTTTCGCCGATAAACTGCTGAATCTGTCAATTATTACGATACCAGTATTTTCTCCTTCCTTTTTCTATCCGAATGTAAATTATGTATTAATCCACCAATAACCAAGAATATCTACCAGCCAAAGTCATGAGTTCGATAACAACCAAGAATTGCGAAATTTTGTAATATAAATGCACGTATTATGATAGTTGAGAAGAGAGAGTGACAAATATTTATGATAAGTTATATTTGCAGAAAAATTTTAGAAGAAATTATAAACTTTTCGCAAGAGTAACAATAAAACTTTTACTGTAAGAGCGACAGCAAAGTTTAGAAACAAATAAAAACACACAGTTTGCTTATACATAAATTCCAGCATAATCTAGACAATTTTCGCAAAAGTCCTTGCGGCAAACTTCGCCATAATGGTCCTCGAATAAACGATAAAAAATATTAGTACAAAGATTAAACGCTCGTAATATATTCATGAGTCTATGAACAATTTCACTTCAACTCAAACATTTATTCTTTAAAAATTTCATCGTATTATCGATCTTTGTAGCATGATAATCAGTGTCGCATCATTTCGACAGCAACGCTGAAAAAGTCGGATGAGACGAGCGAATATCCTTGACAATGTGTGCTGAATATTCGGGTCACATCCTCGATCAGACTTCCTTCGCCAATATAATACGCACACACGAATGTACGTGTCCGAAGAGAGCGTGTAAGGCCGATTAGACAGGATCTATAAACGTGTTCAAAGAATTATAACGATTTAAAATGGGACATATGCCTGTAGTACGTCTATCTACAGTCCTCTCTGGCCTCTCTTTCCCTTTTCAACCATTTGAGAATAACGGAGGAGGACCCTTTGCAAACAGGGAAACAGCTGTTGAGCGGTGACGAGAAAAGGACGGAGATTGGGATTCGGAGAATGGCAGAGAGGGCAGACAGAGTGAAAAAAGAGGTTACCACCTGGCTTACCTGGCTTGTGCTTACCTGAAAACCGACGTTGCTATACCTACCTGCCTGGGCATTCTTTTGTACGGGCCCCAAGGCACGCACCCATTCCCAGACGATCGCGTACGACATCCTACGAAACTACACGCTACAAAGCTACTGTCGCAACACTGAGAAAGATGTTTCGAGAATATATGAGACAACTGAATGTTGTTTATATCGTGGTACGTGTATCAAGGTGCCTGTTCTTGCATCCTCAATGTCATTGACTTTCGCGGTCTGTGAAACTTTCGCTGATCGAAATCTTTCAATAGGCGACTCTTTTCCCAAGCTCGACCATAATTTAAAACCGGCAGTCGAGTTCTCTCTCAGAAAAGATTAAGCGTCACGTGGTAGAAAAATCGATTCCGCTGTTGACAAATTCCGATCCTTCGTATAATGCTCCGGCACGAAGATATAAAATAGAAACGAGCCGAAATAGGACGAGATACATATGTCGCGTGCTTGTATGATTTAAGTCCGTCTAATGGACGAGGCCGATATATTAAGAGGGCATATGGTACGGTTGCACGCGTGTTCCTACTTTTTCTCGCACGGAACCGTTCGCTCTTCAAGGATCATTTCGTGCGGTCACGTTTCCGGCCTGTGTGAAGCCAGATGCAGTTTCTTTCCCGTCAACATTGTCGAATCCGAGGAATCGTCGAATTCTCGTGGCCGACCCGTCTCAATTTTCTTTTTCTGAGTACACTGAAAATTCAGGCAGATGGCGAATGATCACGGCGGTCAAACCGTTAACATTGTCCGCAGTATATAACGAAAAGCGAAATTGGATTTTATAGCGCAACAGCTGCACAAATCCTTTCTCCACTATCGAACGCATTTTATCGCAGTTCCGAAATTTTTTTTCATGGAACTACTTCGTAAATTTATCGATGTAGTTTACCGAGTAATAACTCACTGTACATGTATTGTAGACGTATAAAGCCACGTTTCCTTTTATTTACAAAACGTTTATTATAAAAACCGATGACATAATTTATAATGAACTTAGGACTAGGGATGAGCGAATTAAAATACATCTAAAACAATTGTACAGCTTATGTAGGAATTGCTCGTAAAGCATCTTGCAGCTTTTTTCTTGCGAGAGCGACACGATCCTCTTGCCTCTTGATGTCTTCGTCGGCTATCGACACTGCCTGGAACAAAAGAGAAACTGATTTTATCGATTTCACTTTGACAGCAGCCACGTTAGATGCTTGGTTGACGCCGTCTCTATTGTTTTTGTCGATATACCCTTTCAAACCTCCAGTACATAATTATTTACATTCGGTGTAACAATAGGGTGTTGGATCGTGTGCTAAAGTGTATTTAACACGTAACACGCGTTGATTTTAATGTAGCACCCTATTTTGTATCTAAATATCTATTCTACCTGTACGAGGGGTTGATCGGGATTAAGAAATACCCCGGGATTCTTCTCTAAAGCTGTCTTCGAACCCGTTTGTCCTGTGACTGGTTGAGACGAAACGTGCAATGCAGTTGCAACACTTTGAAGCAGCGTTTCTTCCGTAATATACGGACCGACTGGCTTTAAGCTTTTTGGCAAGTCCATTGCATCGAATTCGAATCCATCTGGATCGCATGCCCTTAAACCCTCCAAACGTTTCTCCCAAAATAACTGCAAGATCGAAAAGACTGTTTCTGTACAATCAATAACAAGTATTTACGCAAAACAATAACATTACTGTACATATATGAAATAATAGTACGTACTTAGCACACAGAAAAATAATCTAATCACAAAAACGATATGTATCTGCTTCATAGCACAAGCAAAATGATAATATACTATTAAACACTATCTATTTTTCAAAAAATAAACTGTATGCATTGTATGTTGATCGATAAAAAATGAAGAATACATAAGAACATAAGACTTAATACTTTACACATCTTACACTAAACACATATTTGTTATAAGTCAATTTGCTAAATGCTTGCATAACAAAGGACTTTGTAATGATACATGCACTACACAACTGCTCTTGGACTAGTTGATAATTAAGGATGCCTGATTGTAGACACTTTGTATACAACATTGTCCGACACATTAATGATTAATTCCATAAGTACATCGAACAATGTATTACCTGCTTAGGCTTATCTTGGGAGCCATATTTGCCATCAGTTTTATCGGCTCCTTCCTAAACGAATGATTGGATGATTGAACCATGAGAACTTACAGGAAACATTAAACGCCAGAATTAAACCATACAGTTCTAACAACTCTGTAGTTTTGTTACAATAATACAATATTTTGGGATATTACTCTCATGTGCAAAGGGAATATGATACATTTATTACCACAGAATAATGGTGGCTTTATATACATTGTGAATTTCTGGTGAATGATGTAATGAACGAGAAAAAATAACATTGAACTTGACGTTTCATCTTCGTGTGCGTTATGAAGGTTAGAAAATACTGACAGTATACATTGTAACACTTTGATGTGTATGTACAGATAAGAAGAATAAATAACAAACACCAACTTGTTTTGGTTTTTCCTGATTTCCGTGCTTGATGTCCTTCACTTTTCCTTCCTGCGTTTTGTAAATGGTTACTGGTTGTTTAAATATAGACGCAGTTTGCCTTATTGGCGGCACTAACGACGCGTCATTTCTGACACCGCGACTGGAAAGAAATATTCATCGTATCATAAGTGAGGTTAGGATCAGCGACGTTGTATGTTCCGGCATCAATTGCGATCGATACGTCGTGAATGTAAAACACAGGGCGTTTATCGGTTTCTGCAGACCGTGCATGATCAATGTGTAACGTAAAAACAAATTCCCAAGATGATGAACGTACCTGTAATAATAAACGTCAACCTTTCCAGTCGATGACAATTGATTTTGGCTTTTCCTCGTGGCCTCTTCCCTGGTCGGCCAATTCGTTGGCAGCGCTGACGGATACTTCTTTTTCTCCACTGACATGTTCATTTTGCACAAGTGTTTATTTCAATATACACTCGCACGTTTCTCAAAATTACTTAAATAATTAGCGAATGTAAGCTCGAACCAGCTATCGGTAGCCATATTGATGCGTTCGGCTAAATTCCCGTATGTTAGTGTAGTTATCGGTTCGAGTAATTAGCTACGTGGTGGCGGTACTATCCACGCAGTTGTTGAACCTCTATCCCGTAATATTTACTCTACGATATTTCAATTTGCACTCAATTTTGTTTCATCTTTCTTTCATGAAATTATTTCACGGATAACGAAAAGGTAAATTATAGTATTAGTACTTTATGTCTTAAGTATAATATTAATAATACTGGTAATATCAACAGTCCGAAACATTTGATTACTGACTGTGGGATCAATGGATTCTGATTTACAAATAACTTCAATTCAAACAAATTTATTGGACAAATTGTAGAATTATTAGATGCTTGAATGATGAATTTGATATCATTATTTTCGTTTACTTTTTATTGTCCTTTTTTTTGAACGGAAATCAAAGCTTCAGATGTACAAAGGGAATAATGGCGGGAATGATAATAAAACTCACACGTATATAGATATAGATGATTTAATTGTTGAAAGAAACAATTTTCGCGTAGCTATAGGAACAACATGAACTGTGCTTGGAAAGGATTAACATTTTTTTTTTTTTTGTATTTTCATTTCTGCTCTGGTTGGAAACGCATATTTCTCATCGCTTTCGTACACACGGAGTGCAAATTGCGAGCACGAAGACACAAGTCAATGAAACGCGGAACAGAAAGTTGGTTAGCTTTTTCGTTTAATTGCAGATGTCAGATCACGATTTTTCGCTCTGTTCTTCTAGTGCATCTGTGTGTATTGGGTATGCAACTGTATGCGGGTATGCGTAATTAGTCACTGTAAAAGAATATCGATTCTGTACAAGTTAATCCATTAAAGAGATAATTAACTATTGAGTCTTCTTGAGGTATCGTTGTTTCTATTGGTCTATCATCGGAGCTGTGCTCGCCGAAAATCTATTTGCTTTTTATACACTTTTTTCTTCTATTTTTATTTTATTTTTTTATTTTTTATATTTTCTTTTATCGTTGCAACATATAATTCCTATTGATCTTTTTATTTCCCTTTATGTTTTCGCGGCAGTATATAGCGTTGATTCTACGACGATCACAGCGAATGTAAAACGTGTGTTGTCTTCCTGTAACAAAATATAAATCTCCATTATGCATCCCCTGCTTTTACCGTTGAAGATCCGAATAATAACACGTTATCTAATATCCTAGTAATTTCATACGCCGAGGTAATTTCATACATCCTCAGAGGTATCGGAGAAATCGTTAACCGCGTGTACTTGGCGCAATTTAATTTCTTTTGCAACGTACGTGTGTCTCTCGTTAATTCACGAGTCGCTAACAAATTAAACCTAAGGGCTCATCGTGTGGAACAGTCACAAAAATATTCTTGTACGAACATTCCGCGAATAAATGTGCTCAGGGGGGAGCATAAATAGCCCACGTGCTTCTATTCGTGAATATGGGTATAATTGTTGATGCCTCATGGCAGTAAACGGTACGCGATCGTGAGCATCTGCTTCTTTGAAGTTTATATTTCATACTTTGATTGATTCTTCGTTGAATATGCTTGAATTTTGTTGCACAGGCATGAAACTATTCTTTGTGATGTCGGTACAATACGTAAAGTACATCGTACACAGTTCGCTATAAACATTATCAAACCAGAGAGATTCAGTTGATAAAGTATAAATAGATTATCGAAAATAGATTTGCACAATATATACTCATATACTCATATTATACACAATATATACACTGTATATATTATACAGATTATAGATTATATATTATGTATATATTATGTACATAAGTATTACATCATGCAAATACTAATCATTTAAATAATGATCACATTTTATTTCATTGAGTAATGATAGTAATAAAATTCTTTATAGTACAGCGTAAATAGATACTGATTTGAATATTCAACTTTTGGTCGATGATCGCGAACAAGATACGATGTACTATAAACATGTGACTCGTAAAAAAGATAAATATGGATTTCATTTAGCGGTACCAATTACAGTGTGACAGAAAACATTTGAATCTCTTTTTGACCGTTCTGAGTCAAGAGATCAAACGTATATATATACTATTGTTTTTCTCTCAGCTCCCTTCCATGCCTTTCACAATTTTTCACAGTTACCGTAGAACACATAGTTACGAATGGTAGCTGCAATACCGAGATATAGAATAGCAACGAAAGAACGAAAATATTTGTAACTGAACTTTCTATACGAGTACAAATTTCGGGGGTAAGGGTTACGTTTTCTTTTTTTTTTTTTTTTTTTTTTTTTTTTTTTTTTTTTTTTTTTTTTTTTTTGTTTTCTCTTCTTTTATACTTTTTCTCTTCGTAATGGAAATATCCAAGGTCATGCAAAAACCCAACTTCCTTTACACGATCGAAATTACATCGGTTCAGTACAGACCTACGTATTCTCTATCCTCGAATTAAAACGTTCTTGCTTCTACACATTGTGTGTTCGATATATTTTATGTAGAATTCTGCAACACGGCACACACATTCCTACTTCGACAGATCTACACGCTAGCTAGATCGTGGTGTTCCGTACACACAATTTTCCTTTTAATCTGCCTCTCAGGCATCTCAGTTCGTTCTTTCGTCAGTCATAATAAAGCACGAGGACATCACGGTGAAAATGTTAATAACATTTCATCTTGCGTCTCTCACAAGTCGCACGTAATGATACTTTTATCATAAAACTCTATATTACATTAGTAACATATTACACAAGCGATTTCTCGTCTCGAAGTCGAACACAATCGCGGATCACAATCATCCAAGCGAACGCATATAAGTCCCATTCATCATCAGCATAATTATATGCCGTTATCTTGGCCTATTTATAACTATACGTTCTATACAATCTTAAGTAGCTAAAACGTTCTGCCACCTATATATATATGTATATATATATATATATATATATATATATGTATATAATGTAACTTCAGTTCGGCCCGCAGCTTCCTCTGGTCTTTTATCTTTCTGAAATAGCGCGGAAGCTACTGCGCGCGTGATTCAAATTTAACAAATATAACACACGCAAATGTATCACTTTTAGACTCACAAAAAGACTATTTTCTGTCATAATACACGTTTTAGAGTCTCAACTTTTGAGTCTTCCGTGCATATTCTTGGAACAGGCTTCTTCCATTTTCTCTAAGTTTCTAAGTTTGTTTTTTGACTTCTTCTATGCACCAGTGTTATAAAAGCGTCGCACACATGACATTCAGTAGCTTGAAACTGTATCGTTCAGCTGACTGTTCAGTATATCACTTCGTACACCGTAGCTTTTTTATCACCCGATCCAGTCACGATATACTTATCGTCCGTTGAAATATCGCAACTGAGTACTGACGAAGATTCCTTCGACTGCAACGAAACAAAATTACCATATTATTAGGTGAAACTAGAAATTGGAAATTATTTCATTATTATAATTTCATTTTATTATTATAATCGTTTTATTCCGAGATATTCTCGGAACTAGATCACAACGTATGATCCAAGACTTAATAAACATTTGATCAACGACTTCGTCACAATGGTTCGCGCTTGCATGTAGTGAGAGGAGAGACTAGAATTCAAATTTTACCTGGAATATCGAGGCACCGTACGGTGTACGCCACGCGTTCAGTAAATTGTCCTTGCCGGTTGAGACGAACCACTTGCCGCAAGTAGCGAAACGTAACGAAAGTACACAAGACTCGTGCAAATGAAGCTGATATTTGTCCGGTTTCGTGGCGTGCAGCACCTCGACGTTCGAGTTCTCCATTCCGACAGCCAACCATTCGCCGGTTGGACAGTAACCGAGGGAGAATATTTGCGATGTGAAATCGTGTTGCTGAAGCTGTCTGCCTTCCCGAAGATCCCACGAGCGCACCGTATTGTCTAATCCTCCGGTCCACAGTTTCGAGCCATCTGCGGATATGTCGATGCAGGATGCGCCATCCGTGTGACCTTGGAATTGCCTGAGCAAAGACTGATTCTGTATATCCCAGACAGCGATGTTACCGTCGCTGCAGCAGCTGAAGCAGACTTTCGAATCAGGCGAGATGGCCAGAGCGTAACACGCTGGCGCGTTCGAAGTCAGTTCTGCCTTGATCCTCGGCGTTGGACTTGCCAGATCCCAGATACTTAAATTACTTGCTTCACCACCGACGATCAGAGTCCTACCGTCTGGTAATAGCTTCACCGACCTGTTTAATAAGAGAAGGTCGGTGTTAGTTTACGCAATGGAACGAAGACGACGAAAGAAGCATATCATTATAAAAATTATCCAATTGCAAAGCTAATATTAGACTTCAACTACTTAATACAGATAATAATTATCGATTCGTCTCTTCATGAATAAGTCATCATTTCCATTAACGATTCGTATTAACCTATGCTCTTAATTGGAGCTCCGGACGTTAAAATTCCATCGTTAAATTCCTAATAGTCATGCTGAATAAATAATAGCAACCTCATTAACGGATTATTATCAATCGCACGTTTTATAACAAAGTTAGTATAATCAATTAATTAGTCGATCACCAGTGTCTAATGTAGATTTGTTTAAATGGAACGTTCCGATACATTGAGTTTCAAGCAATTAACGTAGCCGAGATAAGAGGCGGAGACGATCGTTTCAAACTAGCTAAGTGACTTGACTAGTTTCTCGAAAGGTCGAAATTACACGTATCGCGAGTCGGCAAACGAGACCGCAATGGCGGTCGTGGAGACGCGAGAGGAGACACTAATCAGAATTTATTCAGCGGCGAATCTCGCGTTTGCCAGACGGTGTGGAAAGTTAATGCGACGTTGTGCGAACGTAACGTTTAACCAACCTGATGTAGTTGTCTCGTTGCAGGCAATCAAGCTGCGAAACGTGTTTCGCGCTGCCGCCGCCACCCTGATTGATGTCCCAGACCTTGACGCATCCTTTGCCACCGGTGTAAACGTATTTAGTCGGATTCGAGATCGTTACCGCGCACACTACCTCGCCGTGTGTCAGGGTATTTATCTGGCGCGCATGGCGCGGTATTCCTTGTCCAATTAGAGCGTCATGAGGGAACGGAACCGGCTGCATCTGGCCTTCACTCGATACGTGGAAACTGTACGCCCTGCAAGACAAAGAAATTTTATTACCACATTTTCTTCTACCCGTAATCGCGATACTTTACGATTTCCTTAATGGACGTGCTTGACGACGTGACTTTCGCGACGTCTTTGTTTGCTTGTTGCGCGTGATTATTCGAGTTGACGACAGACTGGGATTATTCGAATGATTAGATCGTGGTTTATTTATTTAATAATCGTCGATTGTACGGTTGGCGTGGTGAAAACGTAGGATGGTGATTATTCGATAACTACGAGGATTAATTAAGAATTGCTGGTTGTGTTTTTTAGTACGAAGAAAACATAGGAAGATTGAAGTGAGATTTTCGAGATCGTTCAAGATCATCACAGTAATCTGGCAACAAGATTGAAATAAGTCATCGAGAGATGCTCGGTGATTACGATTTTATTACGACGAATCGAGAAGTTTAATTCTTTAAATATGCATATTACACAAGATGAGACAACATTCTCAATCTTGTTAGTAAGTTAGCTGCTGAAGTGTATAAACTTTCTACTGGAAATTTCCCAATGAAATTGGGAACGTATTAAAGCTCTGAAGGAAGAAATTCATCAACGGTGCGAGAAAAGCACTTACGGTTTGCCACCGGGTACACCGAGAGGTCCAAGAGGTGCCCTCATGCTTCCGTGAGGATCGTAGAGTTGCTGAAGAGGCGGTCTTGCGGGATATCCATTCAGGGCCGGGGGATAACCCAGCACGTCCACATGAGGTCCTGCGGGTGGATGATGTGGCGGCGGATAGTGTGGCGGATAAGGGCCGACCGCCGAAGCCGAGACCAGTGGTTTGCTGGAACTCGATGGTTTCAGACCACCGGAGCCAGAGCTGCTACCACCTGTCGACCATACATTCATCGTCAGACTTGCTAAGTATTTTCCATCAGCGTGATTGGCACGAAAATTCAGAATACCACCGTGTCAACGCAAAACGGGACCGGGAATCGTCGTTTATTTGATTTAAATGAAATTTCTAGAATTATTTTGGAATTGAGAAAATTAATTTGGACAGAGTGGCAGTGAAAAGACACTTTGACGATAATGGCACCAACTAACAATACATAACTGCAATATTGCAGTGACAAGAAACTATAGGACTATAGGAAGTCTATAGTAAAATACTACTTGCTCCAATTTTATTCTGACGAATGAGGAAAATTGTACTGAATAATTCCACTTGTTACGATTCTTAGAAATTAGCAGAGTAATAATAAACACCTGCAGACGTAGGTGTGACAGGTTTGGAGATCGGTGTGGTAGGTTTCTCTCGTTCCTCCATCTTCTTAGCCGAAGGTGTGCTCGCGTTGCTGCTTGTACCACTTCTTGGCGACGGTGGTGGCACTTCTTTCTTCACCTGGCTGCTCAAAGGCACCGATGACGGACCGAGTTTGTCGAGGCCATTTTCTCTAGGTGACGACGTGCCGTTGGCCGTCGGGCTCGTTGGTCCCTCGCTGGCATCGTCTACCACCAAGTCCTGGTCGCTCTTTTCGCCATCGCTTTGCTATCGGGGGAAACGTGTACGGCTTTATTAAGGTATACCATTGATAGGAGAGCATGGAGAACCATCCTAGATACCTACATGGCCTATGTCCTTGTCCTGCTCCTTTTTCATCTTCTTCAGTGGCAGATGATCGTGATGCTGGGGGTCGGGCGATCGCGGCCTACTGTATTTTTCGCGTTCCGCTGGCGATATCGAGCTTCTCTGAAACAACGTAAAGAGACGAACATTCAGAGGACTGGGGAAATTGGTGACACTATTAAACTTTATTATTATAATATTTTGAGTATACACCTAGTTTTCTTATATCTCGTTAATATGATCCGTAAGATTGCGGACCGTAAAATGAATCTCTAAATAATTCTAATCGCTTCTCATAATCTCTCTCAGTTTGACTGGCAAATCAAGAACGATAGCAATTTTTAGATAATGTCAAGACCATTATTTCGCTAAATCACGCGTCAGATTTATCATAAACACAGTTTGTATTTCTATTCAAATATCTCGAGTCAATTGACGTGATTCGAACACAGCAGGAGGGAAATATTGCTTCGCGCAGTTTCGACAAATCCGTCAGATCGTCTCCGCGATATCATCAATCGTTTATCACAGACAGCTATTGTAGTATAAAAGATACGCTGTCATGTTAGATATCCATCAAAATGCGCATCTGCCGGAAGATGTTCGCTCACGAGGAAGAGAGGTGAAGGAAGCCGTAAAACGAGCGTCAAGATCTATCGCGAAAAGTCATTCCGAGATTGTACACAATCCGCTTCCGACCAAGCTAATGCGATCTCATCAATTTTGTCGAAGCTCTCTTCTCGGACGAGAGTTCGTCGTTTTGGCGAAGGGAAGGTAACGAAAAACGTCGGAAATCGTTTCACCTGTCTCACGATTAAATAAAATATTTGCCAATTGATGTACCGAGGAGCAATTGAATTACGCGCCTTTACCTCCAGCAATTTCGCCTGACGTGCTTGCTCTGTCGATGTGAAAAAGCGACGGAGCAAATAATATCGAGAAATCGTCGACACGGTTGGAATGACCGGTTGTCGTGAAAATTTAGACGCTAGGATTTTTATTCACCCTTTATCCGGAAAATGCTAATAATTTTCCATTCGTCGATACTTTTCATATTTTCGCTCTGACAAGAAAATGGATTTTTTTTAGGCCATCATTCCAAGATGATCCGGGACGATCAATTAACTCTAAAGAAATTGTACGCTCGTCAAAATATTGTCGTTTTCAAAAAATTAATTTCTACCGAAGCAAAAAAGAAAAAAAAAAAAATTTATTCAATCTTTAAAAACTGCCAAACATCTCTTAAAAGAAGATGATCCTCCTGGTAACATCTTTCGTCCCAAGTTTCAACTACCCACTTTACCGATAAGTAGTCGCGATTTAGATAAATTCACGCTTCTCCCTGCTTCCACTATCGCCGGCCTATTAATTCTCAGACCTACCTTCTCCCTCTGTTCGATTTTCTGTTCCCTCCCCTCTTCACCCCCACGCAGAATAGAGACACGATAACAGCGTAGTAGCGGAAGGTTGCGCGTGAACGCGCGCCGAAAATGTCTGTGGAAAACGGAGACGTCAATGCCTACCGAGAGACAGGGGAGGGTGGTGTCCCGAAAGGCGTCGAAGATATTATCGACAGGAAGTTTTACGAGCGACAGTTTTGTCGTCGATGCGACGACGTCTCTCTTCAACCGTCCCTCTTCATCCACCTAAGCGACCGTGAGCCTTTTTCCTGTCCCCTGATAACTTCCCTGTCCCCATCCGTGGCAGCAACACCGTAAACTACCCTCTCTCGCGGCCTCTCTCGACCCCGAAGTAAATCTCCTCTTCTCAATTACCCTTCGTCTCTCATCCACTGCCACCTCTGGCTCGGTCCATTACCCCGACGCCCCTGTGTGGTGGTGGTGGTATCATCCCTTGCGAGCAAGTCGCACGGCGCGTCTAGAGGACTTGTGCGCGTTGTTCAAAATGAAATGAAATACACAGAGGCAGAGAGAGAGAGAGAGAGAGATCACTCGGTGGTGATTTAGGAAACCACTAGATACCCGGTCTTTTTTTCGAAGGACGCGTAGTTGGATTTCTTCAGGGGAACGGAGAAAACGGTGAAATTCAAGAAGTTAGGAAGTAATTGAATTTAGAAAGGCTGACAATTATTGGCAGATTGTTACTTTCTACGTCCTTTTGATAATCGTGGACTTAGTGATGATTGATATAACATTGTAAAACACGAAGGTTAATATTTATAGTGGGAAGAGATAATTAAATTTTTGGACAATGCGGGATTGGACGATTTGACGTTTCTGTCAAATAGGATAAAATTCGTGACACAGAGAGTTTAAAACTTACGTTTAATGCTTCTAATTAGTTAATTACAGTTTCACGTTTCACACTGTCGGAATCGACAAAGTTTCGAATCGTGTGTCCGACAGACTGGAGACGTACGACGTCCAATATTGGTAAATCTGGTATTAGAAGTAAAATATCGACAATTCGTATGCTCGAATCCATCAAAATTCCACCAGCCGAGAGTGAGGGAAAAACTGCGAGGCAGGTACGAGAGACGTTTCGTGGATAATACATATCGAGGAGGAATAAAAGGCGTGTCTGTGGCACACGGCGAGGACAATCGGGACGACATCGAAAAATTCACCTTGACGAAGGCCTGCTCGTCGGAGAGGACTAGTCGGTTCACTCGATAAAAAGGGAGCGAAGAGAGGCCCCGGGGGGTAGTGGGCATACGAAAGGGAGCGAATTCCCTAGAAAGATGCAAGAAAACACGCACACGACCGCGTTGAGAACGACTTCTCAAAGGAAGGAATCCCCGGGGGAATCGTATTATGTGCTTCTCGCTCGACTTTTCTAGAACGAAAGCGGCTGAAGTAGGATCCGTTTCCACTCTCGCGGGAGAAAACGAGATACCTCTGGCTCTCCTTCTCGTTACCCGCGTAATGGCCAGTCACTATTTATCCGGCGCGGAGCCACGAGAGTCGGTCCAGTTACAACTGTCGCGTTCCTAGAAAGGAAAGCCCTTCGGTCAAGAGACAGCACGAGTGTGTGTATATATATATATATATATATATATATATATATATATATATATATATATATATATATATGTTTCTTAGCGCGCTCCTTTTCCTGGATAAATCGACGGTAAAAAGAAAACATGTACGAAGAAGGCCGCGGAAGAAGAGAGGAAGACTACGACTCGTGGATATTTCCGAGAACGATCCCCGAGATTCGTGCTCTCTGACTCTTTCTCTCCTCCGAGGGGAAACGGAACAAAGAGGAGAATACAGCAGAGAAAGAGAGAGAGAGAGAGAGAGGCGAGGAGACATTATCATAAAAATGCGAGGAATCTCGAAGATGTTGGATTTATGTCGGAACGGAGATGGTTAGCGCGAGATAAGTTTCGTAGAATCGAGAGTAACAGGCCTCGCGCGGATAAAACGAACCCCCGGACGAATCGTTGTTGCCAAAGTTTCCACGTGTCATGGAATTTTTATGCTCGCTCTTGGCCTTCTTTCGCTTCTGGGCTAAAGGCCTCTCTCTGTACACCCGATATGTTCGCCTTCCGGACACCGGGATGTACGATATGTTACGTGTACCATATACGTAACACGTAACACGTAACACGTGTTGCGACAGTTGTTTCGACCCTCTCCGTTATTTACATTTCGCGCGTGTTTTTTTTTTCTGCTTGCTCGAGCCGCGCGAGGGTTCGGTTACACCAGAAGAAGACACACATCGCGCGTACACGTACACGTTTTCTGGCGAAGCTACTTTTTCCCTTGCACAATACGTTCGATTCCCGACGGTGTATTCAGCGGTCTTATCTACCCCGGTGCAAATGCATCGTTTCCCTTCTCGCCATTGAAACAGCGAAAGCACTTGATGCTCTGTCACGAGAGAAACTTTCTCTCTCTCTCTCTTTCTCTCTCTTTTTCCACCCCGTTGCTATTTCTCACCTCTCTCGCCACGTAGCACGGTCACACGCCGTGGAGTATTCCAGCGGAGCGAGATCCGTGTACGTGTGTACACGGAGAGTTGGCAGTCCAACCTTCATTCGCGTAAGTTTACTTACACCTAGCCCGTCGGGATCGTACCGGCGGCGGCAGCCTTTCCAGTAAAGAGGGTTCGCGCCACGATCAATATGGGGGTCCGCGTACCTCTCAAAGGGGTGGCCTGAAAAGGAGTGAGAGGCAGAAAGACGCCAGGGGGAGAGGGCCGTTGGGTACACCGTAGATATATAGACTTTGTAGTGTTAGGGACGACTTGGTCTGCCGGCAGGCAACTTGGCAAGCAGCAGCCAACAGCAGAAGCAGCAGCAGCCAACCATCGAGAAGGTGGAACCAGAGAGACAGGGACGATGTGGTGGCAGTTGCTGCGAGAAGAACGAAGAGAGAGAGAGAGTGGGAAACATAGAGTGCGGAGAGGAGAAGGGAAAGAGGAAGAGGTCGGTGGTGTGCGTGGTATTGGGGTTGGTGGTCGGAGCTATGAGGGTGGTAAGTAAGTGAGCGACTCCTTCACCACGGCGCCTCGTCTCAACCCAACTACCCTCACCCATACCACCGTACTCAGCCTCCAACCTTACGGATATATCCCAAGCCACCGACTGCCTCTCTCTCATCCTCCCACGCTCTGTGCTCTTCCTTCCTCCTCCCTTTCTGCCTGCCTCTACTACGGCAAGTAGTCTCCTTACTACTCACCCTACCGGTATTCCACCTCAACCAACCCACGCTGTCTGTTTCCCTATTCCTCACTCCACCCTCGTCGTAGCCAGGACCCCGAGAGAGGAGGTTACGAACCGGAGTCGCGTCTCCCAAGACCCCGCAAACCCCAGTTGGTACAAGATTGCACCCAGAGGTTCTCAACGTGCTCCGAGACTGGCGAGACTGGATCGGTTCTCGACGCGTGAAGCTGAAACTTGCCGGTTGTCGATGGTCAAAGTATACACGGCGATCAAGTGCTTTTTAACGAATACACGCGACGATCGCATTAGTGTTAAACCTTGACTACGCAAAGTACGTAATCTTGAGAGCAGATTTTTATTTTTATCCAAAGGGGGAATTTTAGAAACTGCGTGGAATATTTAGAAATCAATCTCTCTCTCCCTTTTTTTTTTGGCAACGGTAAGAGTCTGAAAAGTTATGGCAGAAATTCTAAATTCTACCACAACTTTGCGA